TCCAAAGGCAGGAAATGACCCAGAGACCTTCACAATATGTAAAAAGCTAGCAGGTGTTTCCGCCACTTTGTTTCAAACTATTTTAATCTGTGTCCCAGGAAGCCTGTTCCACTGCCAGCTGGAGATCTGGTTTTTGGCATCTGCCACTCCTGGCTGGTGGCACTGCACGTTTTAGAAGGCAAACCTGTGCCCCCCATCTTCAGACTTGCAGAGAGGTGTAGTCCCAGGAAAGTCCTTGAGTCTCTGGCTGACAGCACGGATCGTCCGATCTGCTTCATCATCTGCAGCCGAACGGCTGCTGGATCCCAGCCTAGAACACGAGCACGCTGAGTCTGTTCACGAAGATTTGCAGAACCTGAAATCAAAGTGCCTGGCGCTGCCAGAAAAGGCTGGCTCCCTCGCCTGCTTCCTAATCCCTTCTTACCAGGCGCCCCTAAAGAAACTCGATGAGTCAGAAAGGAAGAAAATGTGTCTAAGGGAGATCGGTGGGGTGGGCTGGCTTCTTTCATTGCTTTTGAAAACTCCTCTCTGTTTTCCAGTGCCAGCCACGCTTAGGGGGTTTGCTTTTACTTCTTCGGTTTCTTCCTCTGTCAGCTCTCACTCTGAGACCCTTCATTTACCATGCTGGGGATGAACTCTGCAGGAGCAGGAGGCCCTCTGACATGAGGGCATGAGTCACTGCTGCAGAGGAGTGTAGACTTCCCTTTCGTCCACAGGGGTAGGGTAAGAAAAAGCTCCCACTCCTACTTCCGGAAGGAACCATCACTCAACTGCTTTGTTCTAGCCCCAGGGCCTGTCCTTTCCGCAGGCTTTTGATTTTTACTGAACACCATCCATTACCCTTCCCACCAAAGACTGTACCAGCTGGAGTCTAAACAGAGCGAAGTGGCTTCTGGGATATCCGCTCCAAGTAGGGGTCCCCCTCCCCAGTGGAAAGTACTGTAGTGTTATCAAAAAAGTGCCCAACTCTCGACGTGTTCAAACTGTTATACAGGAAAAAGTCTAGAGAATCCAGTGTGTTTATTGACATCTGACTTATAGAAAAGCCCTGCAAAAAGGAAGAGAGAAGTTCCACATCAGTGTGGTAGAAACGGGTTCCAGGGAGGGCCCTGCTCCACCGAATTCTAGCCTCAGACCCCTGCCCTCTGGTACAGAGCTGCTCTCTGTTACTATCTAAACTTGTGTTCTGTTTATTAGGAAATTGGTTTTTGAAAGTGTCTTTTGATAAGCTTGGATTTATCCTTGAGAGGGAATTGGGTTCTGTTACAAAACAGTAGCTTAATATCAGAGACAGGATGTATCAACTGTATGTAGCTGTTAGTAAATAGTAGATAAAGGAAGCTAGGAGAGCTTCTCAAAAGAAACCACGACCATGTCTCCTCTGCCTACAGAAAATGGGCTAGGCCGAAGCTAGGAACAAGAGACAGAAGGTATCTTTTCACCTACTGACATCAGCCAAACAGGATGAATAGCTCATATGAGGATCATTTCAACCCCAGTGAAGAAGATAAAGTACTGGCTCAGAAGAAGAAAAACAAGGGCTCTTGATTTCAAGCTATATTTAACCCTCAAAGAACTGTTCTCAAAGTCACTTACATAATCCAAAGGCTACAATCACAGGAATTCAAAGTGAGTGAAATAAATATAAAGGGATGGAAAAATCAAGACTAGATTAAGATGAAATTGAAGATGGTTAACAGTTAAGGAAAGTAACAAATTATACGTATTTTTGAGCTACATTTAGTCTTAATCTACTTATTTCTGTGAAGAAACACTATAGTTAAGAACTATGTTCTCATTTAAATATACAACAGAGAGAACAAATATGCATATTGTCCTTTTTTGTTTGTTTGTTTTTGTTTTTTGAGACAGGGTCTCACTATGTAGTTGAGACTGACCTGGAACTCACTGTGTAGCCCAGGCTGGTCTCGAACTTGCAGCAATCCTCCTGCCTCAGCCTCCCGAGTGCTGGGATTACAGGTGTGCCCCACCACTGCTGGCTGCATATTGTCTTTGACACTGGTTTTGGATGTTTGGCCACTGAGGGCCATGTAGTCCTCTACTTTGTTCCCATGTAAAGACTGGAAAGCGAGTATACAACTTCTGAAACAGTAGCAGAAGAGACCTCGGACTCAGATTTTTCAGCAATGTTGAAATTGTTGGACATTGTTCCAAGTGTTTTTCCCAATTCTCACATAAAACAAACATTATTAGTATGAATATTTTTTTATTAATGTAACTGTTGGTAAACTGTTAATGCTTCTTAAACTATTTCTAGTGAATGGCTTAAGTTTTTTCCCCTAATGTCATGTACTATATAATGGTTCATTTTATTTTCCAACTTGCCCAGACTCTGGTAACCAGATCGTAGATCAAATATTATTCTGGAAGTTTCCATGAAGTTAGTTTTGCAATGAAATTAACATTTACATCAGTAAGCTTTGAATAAAGCAGATTATGTTGCCTTATGTGGGTGGGCCTAATCTAATCAGCTGAAGAACTTGCAGGAACAAACACTGACCTCCCCTGATGTTAGCAGACTGCCTTTGGATTCTGCATCTCTTTCCTGAATCTCCATCCTACTGATATGTCCTATCAGATTCTGGGCACAATAAACCTCTTCAACTGCATAAGCCAATTCCTTAAAGTCAGTATTTATCTCTATCTATCATCTATCTATCTATCTCCTGTTGGTTCTGATTCTCTGTAGAGCCCAAATATACACCAAGGTTTAAAAAATTATGACAAAATGCATTTCTACAGAAAGGAACACATGGTTAATTATTGTAGGAATATCAAGAATCAAGATGGGGAGTGGTGAGTGGCAGCAAAATTCAACCTCTTCAAGATCTAGAATCCAGACACGAGATAATAATAAAATAGAAGATTGCCAGGACCTGGGAAGGAACTCACAGGAAAGTGAAAAACTCTGGAGAAGCTTGAGTGATACACTGTACAACACAGACAGAGGAGAAAAACAGTTTCTCCCAGCTCCTGGTTTGCAGTTCATGGAACAGGGAGCCTCGTTTTGCAGAAACAAGTCAAGTGCTGAGTGTTCCAGGTAGAAATGGCGGCAGTGGGCTGGGCCAGTGACATGGGCTGCAGGGGAATCCCATAGTCTTTGTGATTTGCAGGGCCTTTGTTCTTAGGGCATTCCTTCTAAATGGCAGGCAACAACTGGAGAGGGATCCTGTCACAGGTGCCTGTCACATTGCTGCAGAGTGTTTGCGTGGGTGCCATTATGATTGTTTGAGTGTCTGACTCAGGAAAGCTAGGAGATGGCTTCACTTCAGAGTTCCCAGTGTTAACCTCCCATACTGACTGGATGAGAGACAACCAAGAAAGATGGCTGTGGACGGGGAGTAGGCTGGAAAGAGACCCCCAGAGGGGTGTGAAGTCAGGCCGGGAAGGGCATGAGCCCCATCCCCCAGACCTGGCTTGAGTTGTGCTGGTCTGAAAGTGCCAGCATTGAGTACTTGAGCCCTTGGCCCACTGCCTACATCCAGCAGGGATCTGGGATCTGATTGTCTTCCTTATCAGCTGGAACAAGTGGGGATGCCTTCCTTATCTACTAGCACGAACGGGGACATATCTTTCTCAGACATTTGCACACCTGGGAGAAACAGAGGGGCCTCTAGGCAATAAGGATAGGTAAAGAAAACTGTGAATAACTGGATCCCAAAACTGTGAGGATCCAGGGAGGAAACCACTCATTCAAAAATACACATTTTTTTTCTGTTGTTAGACTTTTTTTCTCACTCCTTTCCTTTTTATTCTTCACTTTTTTCTTTTTTGTTTTTGTTTTGAGACAGGGTCTGAACTTATTATGTAGCCCGGGCTGGATTTAAACTCACAGTAATCCTCCTGCCTTAGCCTCCTAATTGCTAGGATTATAAGTGTGCAGTACCACACACCTGGCTTCTTCACTGGTTTATTGTGATATAGGGAATTTTCCTTCCTCTCTTTCTTCTTTTTTAAATTACTTTTTTTCTTTGTTCCTTTTAATTTTTCTTATTTTTATTCTCCATGTTTCTCCTCCTCCTTCCTCTTCTTCTCTTTCTCCCTCTCCTCCTGCTCCTCGTCCTCCTCCTTCTTTTTCTTCTTCTCCTCTTTTTCTTTTATCTTCTATTTTCATTTTGTTTTTCTGTTGCCTTTTTCTAATTCTATAAATACGCTTCTACTTCTTAATATGACCCTTTATATGTCTTCTCTCTCTTCCTTCTCATCTCCCATTGTTTAATATTTCAGAATTTTCCTCTTGCATTCTCCCCTCCCCAGCCTCCTATATCTTTAATAACAGTTAAGCTTTATTCATCTTTAGATAGTTAACACTGTACTTTTACTATTGACTCTTTTCTATCATTCATGAAGCTATAGTTGTATTAAGTACGTATTTGCTCAATGTTAGTATCTGGGTTGTCTTAGTGTTTATAATTGTGGATTTCTTCTCTATGATTAAGTGGTACATAATTGGTTTCTCTTGTATCCAAATTGTCCAGATTGTCTCAGATGATTTTATTGTTGCAGGTTTGCTTGCTATTACCAAGCTTGTATAATTGTTGCTAGTAAGGCTTTTTTTTTTTTTTTTTTTTTTTCCTGTATGCCAACACTCTATAACTTTTGTGACATTGACCATACTGTGGTCTATTCCCAGAGAAGTGGGTGTTGGGCCAGTGACACTGCATCCTCCCCTCCCGAATTGGCAGAAGTTGGATCTTGGGACAGAGGCAGTGGATCATAGTTAGCCATGTCCAGAACGCATCACTCAAAAGCAGACTAACTAAAGAGATCTCCATACTAGCAATAGACTTGTTGCTATAAATGCCTGCAAACCTAGCACAAAACAAAACAAAATGAACAAATAAACAAAAAACAGAAAAAACATGAGAAGACAAGGCAATAAAATACCTTCCCAGACTTCTATCTGTGACAAAGCCAATCCTGGGGACACCACAGAAGAAGAAAGCAAAAAGCCACACAATTGAATTATTTGAAAGGATAACAGAAAAGGTTAAAAAACAATTCAATGAGGAGCTTAGTGGGATCACAAAAGATTTAAGTATTGGGAAAAGTTTTCAATTAGCAATAATCGCGCCTCGGATAAACCTCATTGGCTATGATACTGCCACTGCGCAAAGCTACATAAGATTTAAGTAAACAAATAATGGAAGTATTAAAACAGTCAAGGAATCAGGGAGCCTTACAGAAGACATTAATGAAAAGTTAGCTGAGCTAAACAAAAATAATACAAAACTTGGAATGACCAGATTAGCAAAGAACTAGAGTCCATGAATAAGCTCCAAATAAATCCAGGAGACTAAAAATTATATTGAAAAAATAAGCATAGAAGCAGATAATGTGAGGACAGAATATCAGAATTAAAAGACAAAGCTGCTCTCAAAGAACAACTAACTACTCAGCAATACCTTGAAGACAACAGTAGAAAGTGAAACATGACAAATGGGTCGAACAGCTGCTAGATGATGCAAAAAGTCTTATCGAAGATTAATTGGAGTTAGAGAGAAATTAGAAGACAGCACAAATGACATAAAAAACTTTTTACAGAAATAATAGTGGAAAACATTCTAAATATAGAGAAAGAAAGAAATCTACAGATAAGTGGGGCATATGGAACCCCAAATAGCCATGATTAAAAAAGAACCTTTCCACATCACATTACAGTCAAAATACTGAAAGTATTTTGACACAAGAATGGAAGCTTCAAAGTGGATAGAGGGCCGGGGAGTTAACTCAGTGGTGGCACCACCTGCCTCGCAAGCACAAGGACCTGAGTTCAATCCCCAGTACCCCCCCAAAAATAAATAAAAGTGGTTAGAGAGAAGCAATGAATCACTTGTAAAGGAAACTAACTCCACTGGGATTACAGAAGACTTCTCATCACAAACCTTGAAGGCCAGGAGAGCGTGGAGTGAAGTGTTTGAAGCCACGAGAAAGCAACTTCCTACCCAGACTTACTTATCTTGCAAAATTTGCAAAAGTGATGGAGAAATAAGGTATTTCCATGGCAAGGAGCACTTCAAGAAATTTATGATAACCAAACCAGCACTATAAAAAATTCTCAAGGATATCTGAGAAAGAGGGCGATGAAGCCAACAATGCCAAAGAATCTCATAGAATAAAAACACCAGGAAGGGTGAGCAGAAAATCAGCAACAAGAAAATAATGCAATGATAGGCATAAGTCAACATCTTTTAATACAAACTCTCAGTGTGAATGGTTTGAATTCCCTGATCAAAAGAAACAGATTGGCAGAATGGATCAAGATATAAAACCCAACAAATGTGCAGTGTACAAGAAACATGTTTTATTAAAAAAGAAACTCACAGATTAAAAATCGAAGGATGGAAAAAACAATATTCTATGCAACAAGAAGCTGGATAAAAGCAGGAGTAGCTATGCAACTTTGAGACAAAGTGGATTACAAGACAAAACTGATTGGAAGAGGCAAAGAAGGTTCTTACATATTGGTTAAAGGAAAAACCCAACAGGAAGAGATAATTATTAATATATTTTCCCAGTTTCATAAAACAAACACTACTGGACACAAAATCAGATAAAGTACCAATAATTATAATGGGGGACCTCAATACCCCACTGTCACAACCAGACAGATCAACTAGACAAAAAAATTGATAAAGAAACATCAGAGTTGGAAAACAAATGGATTTAATAGATACTTCCAGACTGTTCTGCCCAACAATAACATAACATACACATTCTTCAAAGCAGTATGTGGAGCTTTAACCAAAACAAACCACAAAGCATGCTTGAGTAAATATAAAAGAATTGAAATGGTCTCATGCATATTATCAGATCATAATGCAATGAAACTAAGAAATCAATGACAAAAGAAACCACAGAAATTAAGCAAACACATGTTAAACAATAAATCACAGAATAAATCAAGGAAGAAATTAGTCCTGAGAACCAAACAGTAATATCAGTATCACGTAGTAGAACCTATGGGACCCAAGGAAAGCAGTCTTTAGAGGGACATTTATATCTGTGAACTCCCACATCAGAAAAGAGAGCAAGTCCGAATAAATGACCTAATGGTGCACCGCTGGACAGTAGAAAAACAAGAACAGTTCAAACCCAAAGTTAGTACAAGGAAAGAGATTATCAAATTGGAGCAGACATGAATGTAACTGAGCCTAAAAAATGTACAAGGAACCAATAAATGGGAGAGCTTGTTCTTTGAAACAAAAAATAAAATAGACAAACCTCTAGCCAATCTTACAAAATAAGTGGGGGTGGGGGAGACTCAAATAAGTGAGAAATGTAAAAGGTGAAATCACTACGAACTCTGCCGAAAGAGTGACGATTAGAGCTACTTTGCGACCTGTATTTTAATAAAATGGAGAATTCAGAAGAAATGGATAGATACATTGAAACTACCAAAGCTGAGCCAGGAAGACACAAAAATCCGGACTAATCTAGTATCTGGCAATGAAAGTGAAAAAGTAATAATAATAATGATAATAATAATAATAAAAACCCTACCAAATAAGAAAAGTTCAGGTCAGGACAATTGTTGCAGGTTTGAGGCCACCCAGTGCTGCACAGTGAGTTCAAGTCCGGCCTGAACTTAGCAAGACCCTGTCACAAAGAAACAAACAATCAGTGTCGCATGCATACCCATGTTTATAGCAGCACAATTTATAATTCCTAAATCTTGGAAATAGCCTATATCCATCTATAGATGAACGGATAAAGAAAATGTGGCATTTATACATAATGGAGTACTACGTCATAAACAAGAATAACATAAGGCATTTGTGGGTAAATGGATGCACCTTGAGACCGTAAAGTTGCATGAAATAAATCAGATATGTAAGTTTAAAAATCACATGGTTTCTTGTTTAGGGAACACCGTAAATATAAATAAAAAACCAAATAAAAGATAGATAATAGGAACTAGGGAGATCTTTTTCTAATGGGAGGGAAACGAGGTGGAGGGAAGAGGAGAGAGGAAAAGCGGATGGAAAAACAATTGAAAAGAAAAAAGGAAACACAGTTTTGGTAAACGGAGAGGGGACCAAGAGTTGGAAGGAGAAGAGAGGGGTGGGAGGAGTAGGGAACGAAAAAAAATTAAGTTGTGCTGTGTACATGTACCAACTCTCGAGGGTAAATGTAATCATTACTGTGAACTTGTGCTAAAACAAAAATCAGACAAAACCAGGGTTCTCTCTCCATGCATGATAATATCACTCTGTATTTTGTCATGTAAATAAACCTTTGGATGTGAAAAAGAGAATATTGTGGAAATATCTAGTTGTTACTTTACTTATTTATTTTTTGGTACTGGGGATCAAACTTGGGTCCTTGTGCTTGTGAGGTGGGTGGCAGAACCACTGAGTGAAATCCCTGGCCCTAGTTGTTATTTATTTTTTTTCTTTTTTATTGAGGTTATTGGTACAATCTAGTTATACAAATACAGTTACATTCATCATTGGGATTCTGTACCTTTACATGACAGGTCTTGATTCTCATTTTTCCCCTTGTCCCTGCCCTCCCTTCACCCCCTCCTCCCCTCCCCATTTACAAACACTTTATTTCCATTTTTTCAGTTTCTCATATTTTTTTCCTCTCCCTTATTACCTTTCCCCCACCCTTCCCACTTTCCTTACACCTTTAGCCCTTTACTTCCTATTTCACATTATTAATTGTCTCATTAAGATCCTGTGTACTATTATAGTTTTTCACACCAAAGAAACTATTAGGTATTTCAGTTAAAGAAATCTCTGTAGGAACATTAAAAATAGGGAATCCTAAAATAAAACTAAAAAGGAAAGTAAAAGAGAAAAGGCAATGATGTAACATCAAAATAATCTTTAATTCTGGAGAAGAAAATGGTCCTTGAACATATTTAAATTGCTTCTCGCTCTTATAGTCTTATTCTTTTTTCATTATTTAAAGAATACTTTATTAGTTTCTGTAATCAAACCCACGTAGATATGACTTTACATATTTAGTACAATGTGTTACCCCTGTACACATGGAAAAAAAATAAAATAAAATAAATTAACATTTCTAGACCAATATGGTTGTCCATTTCTGTGCAATGCCGAGTCCACACAGTAAATTGGGATGACTTTTTCCAAAGTTGGCAGCACCGTTAAAGTTTCCCAAAATTCAATTTATATATATATATGTGTGTGT